CTTTAGCCCTAACATGATACTAATATGAATAAATATTAGGAAGAACATAGGAAGCATCATAACAATCATATTTAATATTAAAAATACCCTAGACATGATACTAGGAATAACATAATAACAATATAAACATGATTTCTACATCATAATATCAATTAATCAATAAAGTACTTACTTGGATGCCTCGTACCTCTTTCTAATAACAAAATACACACGTTAGTAACTTCAAGGAAAATAATAATCAAAACAATTAAATTAAATAATTGAAAGAGAGATTTGGGACCAAACCTTCAGAAATTAAAACCTTTCACGTCTAGGGCGAAGGCAACTTCGAATATGGCTAGGTGTTTCTAGATCTTGTGAATGCGAAATTATTTATTTGAGAAAAGGCTAGTTTAGAAAAGAGAGAGAGAAAGAATAATCAAGAAAATCTTGATGAGAGTTGGTGAATGATTAAGAGGAGATATGACCTCTATTTATAGGAAAAAATAGAGTCGAAGAATTAAGAAAAGAATCCAAATTCGAATCGAAATAAAACTCGTAGACAGCAGTTTTTGCGGAGTTTGTTTTTATCATATCTTTTGATCCAGAAATTGGAATAAAATGAATAAGATGTCGTTGGAAAGATATTGAAGTCTTCTTTCTAACCCAATTAGAGTTAGATTAAAATATGTTTTAGAATAAAATATATGAACGAAATAGTGAGACGGTGTTAGTTTTGGATAGAGTTTGATATCTTATTCATATCTTTTTCGTTATAGCTCGGATTTAATATTATAATATATCATTGGAAAGATAATTTCAAGATCTATCCAACCATATAAAATTTGGCAAAAAAATATGAGGCACTAAAATAATATCTTACTGTCTTTGAACATGTTTAAATCCGAATAGAATTAGGACTTTAAAAAAGGAAAGTTTATATTTAAATCAAATTCCTTAATCTTATCTTTTCAAAAAAGGATAATTAAGATATTTTAGAAACTTATAGAAGATTCTAATCAATCCTAATTAGTTTAGGAATAGGATTAAACGTTTGAACCCTCCTCATGATCATTGGGTCGTAGGTAAAATTAGGTTTGGGCCCAGTTTAGTATTTTGGCCACAACTTCCTCATTATTCATCGGAATTGGGCTTATAATCTATCGTTGGAAAGGTCTTTGCAAGCCCCATCCAACTACACTATTATTAGACCCTTATCATGGTCCAAACTAAACTGGAATGGACGTTTTCATAAAATAGAGTGGGTTTTCGAAAACAGAAAGAAGAGAAAAGAAAATAAAAGCTTTCCGCAACACTAGACTTTTCCACACTTTCGTTTCATTCGATTATGATTCGATGTGAAAGATACTCATCACCGAGTTTGGTTTTGGGGAGACACAAATGGGTGTCTACAGAAATCACACTTAGTTGATAATTGTAAAGTTATGTCCCCATCCGTTTTTATATCGGTACTTAAAAACCATTTACAACTTTTAAAATGTATGAACATGCTTATAGGTAACGAATATCCATGGAATACATAATTTATTTCACCAGCTATAATAAAAAATAATATTATAAATATAATAACCACAAAATAAAGTTAAAAACTTACTTACAACAACTCGACCTATAGAATATTCCGTTACAGAATTTCTGCGGTGAAAGCCTTCAATATATAAAGATCCCTCCTACATAAATGAAATGATACAATGTAGGAATTAAAACATTTCGCCGGGAAAAAAAAAAGGTTCTCAAACATTCCATGGTTTTTGCATGTGCAAAGTTAATTATTCTACTTTGCTTTTATTCATTTCTAAATCATCACCTAAATCTATTTCTAATCGACCCGAGGATGTCACTAATTTGGTTTTCATATCTTAACCCATCTTATAAGAATAATTAATAAACTTGTAATATAAATATGTATATTAGAACCATATTAATCATAAATGTAAACTTTAAACCATCTAAAAAGAAAATTTAATATAGTGTTACAATAACTACGGATACTAAAGCCATATAATAGCTTTGTAATAATACCTTCTTGTCTGATGATCAGTGTAACAACCCGAACGACAAGAAATACAAATGTAGTATCACAAGATAATTTGATGTATGAAAATATTTTAGAACGAAAATGGAATGAAATGCTACCGCAGCCCGGAGATCTACTTATATACACAGTCAAGAAAGCCAAAACATGAACAGTAACTTGATAACTATGGTCATCAATTCAACAAATAATATATATGCCAAAAGATGTACAGTGTATTGATAACTATATGTATGTATACAAAGGAAAATGAAGGAAAACAAAAAAACAACATTGAACAGTATTTTGATAAGAATTCAGCAAAGTCATTTATTGTAAGATAAATTCAATATACTCTTGCTAATTTTGTTCATTATTATCTAAAGTAATAAAGTGAAAAGGTAAATTCAAATTACTTTGAAGTTGACGCACAATTAATGACAATATAAAAGATAGTATAAAGTGATAAGTACGGGTCATTTATTGTATTTTCGTACGCCATTAGTATTGTTTTTAGATGAGGCAGAATATAAGAAAAGGAAATGAAAATTACTCCATCCGTTTTTAAATACTTGTTTCATTTCTATTTTTTGCACTATTCATTTGTCTTACTTTGACTAATGTTTGTGATTTATACATAAGAAAAAATATAGTCTTGTGGGTACTTGTTGGATCATCTCAATGAATAGATTATTAATTTTCAATTGTTAGAATTTATATGTATTGACAATTAAAGAAAGATTAGCATCGTCATGCGTGTCCAAGAGAAATGGAACAAGTATTTAAAAACGGAGGGAGTATCACCAAAACGTAGCGGGTAAGAAACAATAGCCATAAATTTTTAAAAACAAAAAAATAAAATAAAAAATAAATCAAAAAATAAAATACATACCTCTGGACACGTGAAGATGGTTGTCATGCAATTGATAAGCTTTTTAATTGCATGGATACCATCTGTTAATATTATGGCTCAAATTTGCAGTTTTTTAATTGCATGGATACCATGTGTCAATATTATGCCTCAAATTTGCTACACATGTACACATATACTCGTATTTAAGAGTGTCATCGCATTCGAAAAGTTGTCTATATTATTCAACATATGATATTTACATTTGAATTTTAAATAGATTTCTAATACTACATGCTTTGTATTAATCTCTCGTCGGCATAATTTGTTGTGACATCGTTACATCATTTTTCTGCAAACCTACTAAAATCCTAGGATGTTCCAATTTAAATAAATGGATTTATTTTACAAACGTAAAAAAAAACAAGAAGAAAAAAATGGAAAATATTAATACTTTCTTTTTTGTTAAAAAAAAAGGAAAAAAAAAAAAGACAAAGACCAAACATGAACAAGACACGAATTCTTGTTTGTCCTACCCTTTGCAAGAACTATAAATCAGACTCATGACCAAAGAAAAACATTTAATATATATATAAAGGGGAGCTTTTTCCCGAGTTTTTAGAGAGCCACGTTGGATCTAATTTTCTTAGTGTGCCACGTAGGATTATAAATTTTAGTATTAGCCAATTAAATAAGAGATTATTATAATCTTTTATAATTAAATAATTCGAATGCCACAGGTACTACGCAGCAGAAATAATATGAATCATATTCAATCAAGTACCAATCCCAAGATCACATGCATAACACACAAGACACATAATCATACCTTTGACTCGTGAATTCCACGAAACTATTCGACAGGCAAATCAGGGAGAGAATAGAGCCCCAAACGTTGCTCCTCTACTTAGTCCACGAGATTCGAACGAGCCGTCCACCAATACTAGATTGGTCGAGTGATTGAGGAAAACCGCGACCACCACCTTTATGGACAACCGACCACTGCACGAACCACCACCATCGCGACACACCACCGGCGCCTAGGAGGAGGAGAGAGCCGTGAGAGAGAGAGGACTATGAGAGGGGTTGGGTTTCGTGTTTTCTAAATAGGGTTTGATCACACTGATCAGTTAATTGCATACTGCACTGAAAACCTAGGCACCTAGTCTATTTATAATCTCATTATAATTAGACTAGGGCACGAAGCCCAAAAACCTCTTAATTCCCCTACATGGCCGGCCACCTAGAGTGATGAGGCCCATGATGGGCCTAGTCCTCTAATGCTCGATCTAGCCCCTTTGTGTGACCTTATAGGATCCGTACAATTGGGCTTTGGCCTATTTTACTAGTCCAAAGATCGTTAGTACCTCTAGCTATGGCAAAACGACGACCCAAATGTACGAACTTAATTATCTTCATAATTTGATCCATTTATATATCTAGTAATTGCACACGACGAAGACATATTTCCTTCACATACACACATGTGGGAAAATTGTTTCCCACTTTGTTTCCCTCCTAAATTTTCACCCCAAATTCAAAAAATTTCCAACTTCCCCCAAAATTCGAATTTTTCATAGTCATTCAAACAAAATGCCCCTTATAAAAGGAGGGCATCCTTTCCAAAACCCCTTATCAAAAGAACAGTATTAGGGGAATTGGGGAGGGGTTGGGGGGTAGGATAGTTAAGTTAGGTTACAACAGAAACAATGTTTAGTTAATTCAAAACACAGGCAGCCTATGAAATTACATTCATCTACATCTAGACTAGCATTTTCCTAATTCCTAAAGCTGTGTTTGTAGATGCAGCTTCTTTAATTACAGGAATAAGCTCCGTCGAAGACTGACAAAAAAAAAACCAGCCGCCACTTCATCACCAAAAAGTTACCCTGAAAAATAAAAATTGGAGGGACTCATGGCAGAGTTCATAGATGAACTTATAGATGAGTACATTCAGCATCAACAAGCATTGGATGATGAATTCATAGAAGATGCACAAATTGAAGAAGAATATCCATGGTTGTATGATTCAGATGATGAACAAGATCAAGAACAGGAAGCCAATGATGATGGTATGATGCAGATGATGATGCAAACAATGAAGAAGCACAACACCATGTCAGATCAAGCAGAGAAATGAATGTAGATGAGAAAAGAGCACTTGTTGACGAGATTATGTTGCATATGGAGGGGGACTCACTGCCAAGAGGCTTCTTAGCCAATTTGGCTAGAAAACATTCAGTGCACAAATCAACAACAATAAGGTGGTTCAAGGTAATCAAACAATCTCTAGCTGAAGGTATTGTTGTTGATGTTAATACCAAAAAATTACGCAGAACAGGACCCAAACCAAAAGTGTACACAGATGAATTTCTAACATTAATACCACTGTACAAGAGAGGGACTGAGAGAGGTTATGTTGCAGCCCTCAAAATACCAAAGACATCAATTTATAGACTGAGGAAACAAGGCAGGCTAAGAACACACACCAGCACAAATCATCCAGCTCTAACAGAGAAGCACAAAGTGGCAAGACTGAAATGGGTCCTAAGTTACATAGATCCCATTCCAATAGAAGGGGACCCAAAATTCAGAGATATGCAACAGTGGATACATCTAGATGAAAAAGGGTTCTTCATTAATCCAGAGACAAGAACTTTTTATTTGCTGCCTACAGAGGAAGATCCATATAGGGCACAACAATCAAGGAGATTCAAGATAAAAGCAATGTTCATGGGAATGATTGGGAAACCCTTGTTTGATGAGCAAAACAATATGGTACATGATGGGAAATATGGTCTATTTCCTTTTGTCAAGTATGAAATGGCAAAAAAGAAAAGCAAAAACAGAGATGCAGGGACTCTAGAGACAAAGGCACTTCAAAGTGTCACAAAAGCCTGTGTTTAGGGTAATTTTACCCCGCCACGTGGTCCAATCAGAGGATGACACGTGTCAGCCTCAGGATGGCCCAAAGTGGACCAATCTCTGCTTGACACGTGTCACTCCAGAAAATAAGGGGAAAAGGCGGCCTTCAGGCCCAAATCTCGAGAAAGCCGCAAAGCGGCGCAACCCACTAATGATTAGGGTTCAGTGACCTAATCAGGGGCACAAATCCCAAAGACCCTATAAATAGGGAGATGTCCCTCTTTTTGAGGGCATGTTTTTTCATTTATTACACATTTAATCTTTGATAGAGACATCCTGAGCTTGGAATCCGAGCAGATCCCTACCTAAATTTCCGCACCTTTTTCTCCCTTCAAGTTTCTAACTTGTGCGTCGGAGGCGGAGCACCACCCAACTGGTGTCTCCGTTTGTTTTGCAGGTACAACTCACCCCGGATCATCTTCGTGTTGTAACTCTCCTGAGGGACAAAAAACACCCAAAACAGCCTGCATTAGGGACATGCTAATGACACATGTGATTCCAAATATCTATGGAAAGTGGCCAGAATAGCTAGCTAAGGACATATTCATTCAATGGGATAATGCAAGACCTCATCAAGTTCCTAAAGATGAAGAATTTCAGGCAGCTTGTCATGCACATGGATTCAACATCCAATTCATTTTCCAACCAGCTTAATCACCAGAAACAAATGTTTTAGATTTAGGTTTGTTTAGTGTCATTCAATCACTACAATACCAATCATTCCCAAGGAATCTAGATGAGCTCATAAATGAAGTTGCTAGAGCTTTTAAAGAGTTTGATCTAGTGTTGAACAAGTACACATGGATCACACTCTAATCAAGCTTGATTAAGATACTAGAGAAGCAAGGTGGGAACAACTTCTCTCCCCCTCACATGAAGAAGAGAAGTTTGGACAGTCAAGGTCTACTACCACAATTACTAGAAGTTGACATGAATCTGATTGGTCAAGTTGTTCATTATTTAGATTCAGTGACAGTAATTGGTGATGATCAAGGACACATGGAAGTGGATGCAGACTGAAGCAAATGAGGAGAACAATGCAAATGGAATAGGGACTCAACACATGACTGCCACACATAACCTTTTAATATTTTAACAACTTTTTGAGTGAGTTTATGTCTAGGTTATGTGTCCTTTTGGTAAATACAAGTTACACAATTATTAGGCAGTCATGTATTCATTTTAGTGTCTCCGTTTGTTTTGCAGGTACAGCTCACCCCGGATAAGTCTTCGTGTTGTAACTCTCCCGAGGGACAAACAACACCCAAAACATTTGGCGCTGCCTGTGGGGAGAGTACCTCGAAGATGGTTCAAGAGTCTGTACCACACCCTAACTGTCTGGGCGAAGACCCAGAAGTCATTACAGACCAGGAGGATGAAGATCCTCTGGTCGAAACCTTTACAGCCGAAGACGGCTCCCTCAAAATCAAGCGCATCCGGCCCAGAGAGACTCTGGAGCGGGGTGCCTCCCAGGCGGGTGCAAGTAGACCCCCTGGGCAGCCGGAAGGGGAAACCCAAATGGCAGCTGGATCAGCGCCCGTCACCTGAGACGAGCTCATGAGATTCATGACAAGTTTCAAGGGTGAAATTAAAGAGCTGATCACCCTGAGCCGGGCTGGCCCAAGTAGAGGTCAGTCGGCCAAGAAGACTCCTCTGGAAAAGGGGAAGTCAGTCAAAGATCGGCAGCCCACTCCTCATCCAAAGGAGAAGGCAGCCGGGACCATTGATTGGTCCAAAATTCTTCTCCCCAAGGGGAATAACAATAACTCCCGCCGGACTCAACAACCGCTGAGAAGTAAAAAATCAACTCTTGATGCCCGGGAGATCATTAACCGGAAGAGAAACCAGTCACTGTCTGAGTCGGCTTTAACGTTGAACTTTCCAGACAGCTTCAACAATACCTCTGGTGGGAATGCATCTTCCTTGCATGAGAGTCAAACAGGCGGTAATACCGTCCATTCTGGCGCTCATATGATTGGAGCTGTACCGTATGTGCCTACTCAGGTCTACGGCTAGTATCCCCCTTATTTCATGCAGCCGACCCTCTTTGGAGGTCAGGCGGCATATCCAAATGTCCAGCCATTGGACTGGCAGCTTCGTCTGCTGCGCCTGGGTGAACAACCTTCTGCGTTCACCTGGGAGATAACCGAGGCGGCCCAGCCGGCCAAGGTTAAGAATGTGTTGGTTGGTACCTATGATGGTACCACCAACCCGGAAGACCACCTTATGGCTTACACCAACCTCATGTATCTGCAGGGGTTGGATGATGCCACTTGGTGTCGGTGCTTCCCGGCTACATTGAAGGGCATTGCCCAACAATGGTTTAGCAACTTGCCGGTCGGATCCATCGATAGCTTCAGGAAGCTCGCCTTCCTGTTTGCTTCCAACTTCTCAATGAACATCCCTGCTAAGAAAACAAGCCTTGATTTGAGCACTGTTAAGCAGGGAGAGAGAGAAGGGCTGCGCTCCTATGTGAGGCGGTTCAATCTGATCAGAATTCAAATTCAAGGACTGTCTGACGAGGTAGCTTTTATAGACTTCTTCAAGGGTCTGAGAGACGGGTCGACTTTTAAGTTCGACCTAGTCAGAAAAGGGGCTTTCACCTTACAGGCGGCCCTGAGGGAGGCAGAAAGCTACATCCAAGCTACCGACCTCTGCTCGCCTGGTAACCAGTCGGACTCTAAGAAGTCCGATAAACCGAAAGACAGCCGGTCAAAAACAAAGAAGAGAGCAAGAAAAGAAAAGAAGTCTGGGCGATTACTGACTCTGACCAGCCGTCCCACAAGAAAAAGAAAGAGTTTAAACCGTACGTCCCCAAGTACGAGTTTAACAAAGACTGCAACTCCATCCTCATGGAGGTGAAGGACCGGCTGTCCATTGAGAAGACGAATCCTATGAAGAGTTCTATCCAGTCACAGAACAAAAATAAATTATGTCAGTTCCATGAGGAGGTCGGCCATGATACCAACGACTGCTTCAGTCTACAGCGGGCGTTGGACTGTCTGGCTGACAAAGGGCTGTTGAAGTCCTACATTTCTAAGTCCCCAGCAGGGGCAAAAAAGAAATGCAAGGGTGAGTCCTCCAAGACTACCCCCAGCCTTCTAGTAGCTCGGATACCGACAAGGAGCCGGTCTACACAATAGCAGGCGGGTCCTCCTGTGGGGGCCCTACCATCAGGGGCACCAAGAGCCATCTTCGAAAGATGGACAAGGATGAGGATGAGCAGGCGTCTGCAAGCACCTCCTTCCCAGACGTCTTGATTACTAAGAAGGATAGGGGCAGCGTCCGCCGTCCACATGATGACCCGGTTGTCATTGAATGTAAGGTTGCCAACCAGCTGGTTGGACGAATCCTTATTGACACCGGCAGCTCATCAGACATCATCAGCCTCCGGTGCCTGAAAAAGCTGAAATACAATGTCAGCAGCATGCATCCGGTCACCCACCCCTTGGTTGGTTTTGGGGGTGGGATGGTCTACCCAGCCGGAAGAATTGACTTGCCCATCCGGCTGGGAGAGAAAGGCCAGGGACGACATATTGTCGTCAGATTCTTGGTCGTTGAGGAGTTGACCGCCTACAACATTATCCTTGGCCGGCCAACCCTCAACATAGCCAAGGCAGTAATCATCCCGTCTCTGATGCTCATCAAATATGAGAGGGATGACGACTCTGTTGGTTCCTTTAATGGGGATCAGAAGACGACCCGGGAGTGCTATCTCTCAGCCGTCAGGGACATTGTGGCCCCAGGTGGTCAGGAACCAATTGACCTTGACAATGTCAAGGATGCCGATCCAGCACCTGCCCCACCAGCAGCCGGAAAGAAAAGAAAGGCACCTCTGCTGGTGGAGGTAAAGAAAGAGAAAAAATAGCAATCAATGACCGGTGAACGGTCAGATGAGCTCCGTCCCCAACCGGCTGGTGAAGCTTTGATCTCGTTCTGGATGACAGCCGTCCGGAACGTACTGTAAAGGTTGGGACGGTTGCTCATGCTACTTTGGGTGCAGACTTGCACCTTCTGCTGAAGGAATTCAAAGACATTTTTGCCTTTAAAGTGGAAGAGATGCCAGGCGTCAACCTGGATCTTGCTGTCCACAAGCTCGCCGTGGATCCTAAAAAGAAGCCCATCCGGCAAAAGAAAAAAACCACGGTGAGGAAAGAAGTCAGGCGGCAGCTGCCAAAGTCAAAAAGCTGCTAGACGCCAGGTTCATCCGGCCTTGTAATTTTCCCGACTGGGTGGCCAATGTGGTCCTTGTAAAGAAACCGAATGGGACCTAGCGCATGTGTGTTGATTACACAGACCTCAACAAGGCGTGTCCAAAGGACAGTTACCCGCTTCCAAAGATCGACACTCTGGTCGATTCTACAGCCGGTCACGCCTTGATGAGCTTCATGGATGCCTACTTCGGCTTCCATCAGATACCCCTGTGGAAGAAAGATCAAGAGAAGACGACCTTCGTCACTGATCAGGGGTTATTCTGTTATACTGTGATGCCGTTTGGCTTGAAAATGCGCCTGCCACTTTCCAACGGATGATTAATACGGTCTTCATTAATCAGATTGGGAGGAATATGGAGGCGTACATTGATGATATGATAGTCAAATCCAAGCTCCAGACGGATCACCTTGCTGATCTCCGAGAAACATTCACCACCCTCAGGCGGCATAAGGTTATGTTAAATCCTAAAAAATGCGTCTTTGGTTTTGAGTCTGGGAAGTTTCTCGGATTCCTGATTGATCAAAGGGGGATAGAGGCTAACCCTGAAAAGATACAGGCGGTGATAGACATGAAGTCACCCCGTTTTGTCAAGGAAGTGCAGAGACTCACCGGCTGTCTGGCGACAAGTACCTCTACTTCTTCCAAGCAATCAGGAAGAAGACCAGATTTGAATGGGGGGATGATGCTGAGACGACATTCCAGAGATTGAAAGAGCATTTACATTCTCTACCTAGGTTGGTTAGTCCTTTACCTAGGGAGACGTTGTA